CACTGTTCCTCGTTCGCCGCTTCCGAATCTAGGGTCACTAGTCCCGTAACAGGGTTCGGTGCTGCCTGGTTCTCGGTCATCACTCCCGGACGTAATGGCGTTTGTATTTGGTCTAGTGTTCGGCGAATCGGCATTGGAGCCATAGCAGCTAAGCAGCGGAGCAAGACACTTGATGGAGTTTAACCATATGATTGATATGGGGACGGTGAACGGATTTCAATACTTATGCACTACAACAAACAATGGAAACTGTCAAGACGCGGTGCTCTACGAACTGTCCTGGGAATTATTAGTGCACAAGGGGGATGCGTGGGGACATGCAAGATGGACTGACCGCTACCCAACAGTCCACCACTCTATCCCGCTCATGAACGGAAGCATTCAATCTGAGGATCTCGGGTTCAGGAATCATAGCACCTCTACACAGAATACTCGCATGTTTACATTTACATCTTTCCTAGCCCTGGTTCATCGCCTAGCCATCCACAATCGGAGCTCTACAATATATTTCGAATGTTATATGGAACCGCGAGTCACATTTGATGGAATAAATCATGGCCATACTGTAAGTCGGCGTACGACTTGCGAGTGCAAAGGGGTGTGGAGACCGCTGGAGGATATACGAGCGCTAAAGAGTTAGATAGTTATCAGCGAACGTTTAGGCAATAGGGAATGTGATGATTTTGAAACGTTTTAGACGAGAGTTCAATGAGTGCGAGAGCGAGACTTCGTGACTGGATGTGATTGCCTGTCAGTATGGACTGTACACGGGCTACTTATATTTTAGAATAGTAAGGGTCCTTATTGATGGCTAGGCCGAAATTAAATGCGAAAAGCGGAATCCGAAGGTAGAATTGTCGCATCCGAGAAGGTAGAGTAGATATAACGCGAAAGAGTACGAAAAATGAGCGAGCGGAGGTATGAATGGATATGGTTTGACAGGATAACGAGAGTGCGCATAGGTTTTGACAGTTTTCGGCGGTTCGGCTGCGAGCAGGATAACGGAGACCAGAATAATAAAGGGTCGAGTATACGAGGCATTGATGGGGAACAAGGATAGGATGAAGACGAGGTCCGTGCTGAAGATTTTGATGGTGATGGTAGAGGTGAGCGTTACTTCGGCTATTTCCGGCGTCAACCGCTCGGTAATCCTTATAATATGCAGCCCAAGACGCAGCAGCGACGATGGCATCGGAACAGTTGTGATGTGAGCGGAGGTGTTATTGCTACTCGAGTCAGACCATCGATGGAGTATGATTGGGTTTCGCCCACCTCTATGCCAGAGATACAGGGGAATTTTTTCCCCTCATTCTATGCTTTCATATCCTGCTTGCCAATATCGTCCAATGAGTCTGTTGATCCAGTGACGTTATCAGAGCAGGCCGATGCTTGGTGCTTCCCAAAACGCTCCAACTCCAAGGCTGTTAAGTCGTCTGCATCTGCAACTGTCGATTGCTCAGCACCCGTCTCAGCGTCTCTCAGCTTGTTCTCGTCGCCGCGGATGATCGTACGTTTGAGTGTGTAGCTACGGAGGAAGAGAACTAGAAAGAGACCGAATGCAGATAGTGGGGTGCTGACTATCCAAATCGTGCTGATAGATCGCGAGTAAGCATGCATGACTTCGTGGCGCACTGTTGGGTTCTGGTGGGAGTGATCGTTAAGCCAGAACCGAGACCATGGTAGCGTGCTTACAGAAATGGAAGAGATCCGCTTTATGTTACCGTTTAAAGCCGTGGCAGAAGTGTCGATTGTGAGACCTTGGATGCCCTGCAGTTTCTGCTGGAGGACACTGGAAATAACAGCTTCCCCCATCGCCATGCCTACCGTACTCCCAAGAGTTCTCGAGACCAATAAGTACCTACGAAAAATAAATCGTAAAGTCACACCCACCGGAGGAACATAAAAGTGCCTGTACTGGTAGCCATATCCTTTATAGGCATGGCTGCCTGTATGGCAATAAGCGGGCTCTATTGCAGAGGTGATGAAGACCGTGCATCGTTATCATGTGGTTAACTCACCTGGAACAAGCAACCGACACCGAGGGAAGTAATAAGGGGGTAGATTTCCTGTGCTGCACTAAATGAAAAAGCTATAATGACCGCGTGACTGCGACACGACTAAGTACGTACACAGTGGTCGTGTTATCCAGCATAGTCATGAGGCCCCAACCAAGCGTCATGGAAATCCATCCGCACCATATGACAGGGCGGTAGGATCCCGTGCGAGTCACAATCATTCCAGAAACTGATGACATGAGACTACAGCTTAACGAGTAAGGAAGCATTCTGCGCATATCAGCAACATAGGATAATAATGATGCATGGGTTCAATACTCACTTGACGCCAGAACTTGTTGCCGATGCGCCAAGAACTTGTGTCGAGTTCAGCAAAATGCACACTCGAAGGCTATAGGACAGGCCTACCTTGGTAGTACATTGGAAGGTAGCTAGAAAACACATGATGATGACAAGTATAAGCTCTGTCTGAACGTACTCACTAAGAACCTGGAGTAGTCACGTAAATGATTGTTAGTACTCCCGAGACAGATTCGGGTGCATGACACACCTGCGGAGAATATCGTAGCATGTATGAAGACAGAAATTAATGCAAAGCCCGTCGTACGTGTCTGGAAAACCATGAGAAACGATATTGATCTGGAGAGCTTTCTCAAGAACTCGCCTGGAAAAGACGAGGAGGAATAATGGGCGACCGCTTCGTATAAATCTCATTGATCCCACCGATGATGAGCAGTGTACCTCCCACAGCAAGGAGTGCAATGGTTTGGGGGTTTTTCCCTACAGAAAATAGTAATGGGCTTCGGTTCTGTAGAGCAAGAAGATGAAATTACACGTCGTTGAGTTGATACCAATAAGGAGACAAATAACCCCTATAACAATCACAAACAGTCCAACGAAATCAAATTCTCGGACATGGTCGCGGAACGGCCTTCCTTGGTGCGGATTCAGATTTAAGAAAAAGAATAAAAGTGCCCCAGCTAAGCCACCAGTCGGTCTGTCCATAAGACGTGTTAGTAATAAGCTTCTGATCTCGTGGCAAAGATTTGAAACATATCAAGCGCACAAATTAATCCAGAAGCACCTGAGACGCGTCAATCGTGAACCTTCGGTCAACAAATAGCACACGCAAACTTACCACCTCCAAGATACATGATCAGTGAAAAGCTGTAACGCAAAAAAAAAATCAATTCTCAGATCCCCTCAGAAGATGGGAGACCTCACACCGCCGATTAACGGTCCGATGACGCTGAGAAATAAGTTTCAGGCTTTGGAGGCTTAACGGCGGTGTGTTATTTAACCTTACCTTGCTGTGCCCCAAGTGGCACCAACGAGACCACTGTACTTGCCTTGCCTGGAAAATAAATATGATCAACAATGACTTGGTGCTGGTAACACATATTCACTCTTCCAATGGAACGATGTCGGATATGATGATCTGTACGAGTTGGAAGATGCCGCCGCCGCCAACACCCTGGATGGTACGAGAGGCAATCAACCATGACATGTTCTGAGCTGCACCACACAGCGCTGATCCAATCTAGTCTATGAGGTCAAAGCCTAGTCGGACGCGCGTGCTAGCAATAACATACCAAAAATACGAGGATGCATCCATATAGCATGGATTTGCGGCCTGCAGATCCCAGTCATAAGTTGATTCCCGAGCAACACTTCATAACACTCAAAGAGCACTCGCCTAGAATGTCGGATAGTTTGCCATATAGCGGACTCAAAGAGGAGCACGCCAGCATGTAAGCACTACGTGGAAAATATTACCATGTAATGACACCATATGTAACACATACGTACCTCCCCACCCAACTATAGTTCTTACCTCCCCCTAGATCAGCTACAATTGTGGGCAGGGCGGTGGCAACGACAGTCTTATGGTATGTCAATCCGACATTGATCAATAAAATAACACAAATACGTACTTGATCTATGGCTACCAAGAAAATTGTGCACATCCAGCCAATAAACACAATCCCTAGGCGATTTTCAGGGATGACGTGCTCCTCAACCTTTGTCCACGATGGACCTGGTCTTTCTTTGGCCTCCTCGACTGCTGGAGATGGCGACTCTGCCATCTTTGTCATGTTGTAAAAGTCTCGTTCACGAGGGCAGCGAGTGAATTTGAAGAACGGACAATGTCAACAGAAAATGGACAAAGGTGGGTTGGTAACTTTGTAACACGTCCATGTGTAATAAAGGTATAGATAAGTTGTCGAGGTGTAACGTTCGCTTCGACCTTCCGAGATAGACCGACAGGTGAGACTAGTCGTATCATTTTGTAAGCCCAATCACCGGTACATACGTAATGTATAAATTAATATAAAGCATTGTAACGCCAAATTCATGCTGGGCTCGGACCTATATATTGCTTTACATCACTTTATATTTTTTTATAACATGATATCTAGCCGGAAAGGAGCGCCTCGGCTGGAGTCTCAACAGTTCCAGATGGGCCATTTGGGATTCGGAGTATCGTCGAAGCTCTATTGGAATTACGCCATAGGACAGTTCGTAGAGGACCGCGTCTTCCTGACGATAGATAAAGATAGAAATTATCTCTCTCTATTGAGATTACGGTCGCTATCGGTGACCCAGGGCACAAGAGTCACGATTTTGAACGAGCCTGAGGTATCGCTAACTCGACTCAGTTATTTGATGCGGTCATCGTCGACGCGTCGACGATTTGTGCCAGCGCACCCTGGCATCTGGACCACATTTGGCGATATTATGCTAATGCAGAAAAGCGATAACAGCGCGCTACTAATACTGGGCCGAGTACGCCGGATCATCCCGAGGACATCCAAACGTTCTCACTTGGTACGCTACACTAGTACTATATAGTAAGTTGTCAGCAGATTGCTTCTCATCAAAAATCACGTAGACGGCGACATGAATTATAGCCACGGTACAGCGCGTACCAGAAACGGAGTCCAAAACATGGCAGCGATGCAGGGCAAGAAACTTGGATAGAGTTTAGGGGAGGTGCAGAGTGCAGAGGAGCAGATAGATGTCACCTGAGAAGATCAAGAAGGTGCGGACTCCCCCAACTAATCACACGTGTGAATATATAGATATGAATTATCAAAAACGCATACCGGTACCGCTCTCCGGCACAGAAACTGCATGCATCTGCCGCGTGGTCGCCACCAGAGCGTCCGCATCCGCATTAAAAACACAATCAAACGATGAATCCGCACCGACTTTGCCCTCCTCGTTATCATTGTCGCCGTTGTCGTCATTATCCAGCTCGAGCATTGAAGTGGGCGGGCTCTCGGGAGTCTTGAAAGGCTGTAGCATAACTTGCCTTCGCATGTGAAGCCACATAGGCAATTGCCCGGTAGCATAGTAGCACAATTGAGACGAAGGGAAATTGGAATTGGGGAGGTCGTGTTGCGGGTGCATTGGGACCTCATTGAGTCGTTTGGAGCACCACGGCATGTCTCGGCGGGGGTATCTTGCCTGAAACAGTTGTGGATATAGAGGTAGTTGTAGTTGCGAGAGCTTTGGAGGAAGGCAGAAACTCGGGAAGAAGCCGTAGTAGGACGACTAATAGATGGGGCCATGACGGTACTGGGTGTCCTCCCCTTCGCACGCTTCCGAGTCGGTGGTGGCACAATGTCGTTCACGTGCATCGAGAGACTTGTCCAGGGAACCAGCCTCAAGATAAGTATCTCAGTCATTGATGGAATTTAAACATACAGATCAGTAATCTACGGAATGTAATACAAATCTAGTAAAATCAATACTGGTCAACCGTACTAGTTCAAACAAAGGTGCCTTTTGGAAATATGACGTACAACATCTGCATATCATGTTCGGGCATGACCAACTGTCCGTCTTCTGCTCCATCAGGTCTCCAGAGACGTTCTCCTCAATATACGTTCATTGGGTATCGGGCTTCGCCTATCGCTCCAGACCAGTCGAAATCCACCAACATGAATCCAGGGCTGCAGTCCTTTTTTACCATAATATTTGTGTCCCGGACGTCTCCGTGAACATAACCTCCTCGATGAAGAGACTGGAGTTCCGTAGCGAGTGCATCGTGATGAGGGTAAGGAACGGTAATATCCTGGAGACGACAGTAATCATCCGTGATCATCTCCATCACAATCATGTACCATCCGCCTGGTAGCTGTTCGAAGCCCAGAAGTGCTGGAGCGAAGCCGTCCGAAGCACATCGTTGATGTACTTCCTTAGAGTAGCGACGGACAAACTTGATGCAGAGCGTCTTGTCATCGGTCGTCTTGACGGCGGAAAAGGGTAGTCTGGAATGATCCATTTGATGGTAGTACGTGAAATCACACGTCAACGATGTCTCGATGCAAGTGAAAGAATACGGGTATGGAAACATGAGATCTTGAAATTTAGAGTCCAGAAATTCGAGGTCTTGATCGGGAGAAGGGGACGTAATGCCCTGGTAACATGCCAAGAGGGACCGAAGAGCTTTCCTGAGCGCACCAATGTGCCGAGCGACCATCGCACGCATTTTGCTATCAGTGGGGTGATGAAAGAGAGGTAAAGCAGTCGAAACCACCTGCATGTTCGGACGAGTGCTCCAAACAGCAGCTGAGAAATCGATGTGCGGACCTGTTGAAGTTGTGATCAATGCATCGCGAGTTGTGAAATACTGCAAACCTAAATGTAGGCTTGGCCTTCGCGAAAGACTCAGTAGAATGTATATAATATAGAATGGTTTGCATGTGGGGTTCGGTCGCCGTGGACCCTAACTCGTTCTTAACTTTAGCGATTGCATAACGGAAACCTTTGTACTGTATGTCGCCGTCAGTGACATAGACGGTGCCACTAATTGTCGTGGCCGTAATGTTGATACCGTGCTCTTGCAGGACTTCACGAAATTTGTAAGCTCGTGCTTTCTCGTCTGTGAAGAAGCCGGACATAACCACCGACAATGTCATGGCCAACTTGTTGTCGTCTGGCGTTGGCTCAATATTTTCGCAGTCGTCCATGAATGTGCCAAAGATTGGATGAAGTAGTGTGCAGGGTATAGTATGTGCATTCTCAGGGGGTCGATCCCAGTGAACGAACTGGTCCGGATTTTTTTGTATGCCTTTGAATTCAGAAGGTTGTCCGTAGATGGGAGGAGGCTCCTGGCTGTACTTTCCACAAAATTGCTTATACAGGAGTGCGGAAGGCAAAGGTTGTAGATGATTACGAGACCCGTCTGGGAGGCAGCCATCAGCTCAGTCACCGTGTCAAAGCGATATCGACCGATAACTCACGAAGAGGTGGTTGGACAACAATATGCAGGTGCTTACGCTGAGGAGGAGTGTCGAAAACCTCAAACATTGGGTCCACAGGCGATAATGCTTTCTTGTGATCTGGTTTGAGATTGTCGATATTACTCTCGAGGGTGTCATCGACAGGCAGGTCGACCTTGCAAAGTATTAGATCGTCCGCACCCGATTGTAGGTATCAGATCACTCACTTTCCATAGCCGGAGAGTGTCTGCATCCAGGTCGCGAAATGCAGGCTTATTTTCCTTGATCAACTCTTTCAAGTTACCAACAGTGTCCGTCAATGCAATCTTGACCGGGAATATGTTCCCGGGGTGGTCGCCTCATACTAGGCAGTTGAGGTTGATCAACGAGTAGCCGGCTGAGTGAGAAACACCTTGATCACACCGCAATAAGTATGGATGAAAGAGAGGCGATATCGACAGACAACTCACGAGCAGGTAACGGCTGGACAACAATATGCAGGTGCTTACGGTGAGGAGGAGTGTCAAAAACCTCAACCATTTGATCCACAGGCGATAATTCTTTCTTGTGATCTAGTTTGAGATTGCTGACATGACTCGGATGCTCGAGGGTATTGTCGACAAGCAGGTCGACCTTCCAAAGTATCAGATCACTCACTTTCCATAGCTGGAGAGCGCTTGCATCCAGGTCGCGAAATGCATGTGTCTTTTCCTTGATCAATTCTTTCAGGTCATAACTAACTTCGTCGATACAATCTTGACCGGGAATATGTTCCTGGAGTGGTCGCCTAATACTAAGCAGTTGAGGTTGAAGTTGGACTTCATGTTGGGAACAAGAGCAGGTGGTGGGCATTGGCATGATCGAGTCCAATATTTTATTTTATTTTTTGTTCCCCCGTGTAACAGAGTCAAAGTGACCCTACTATATTATTGTGAATCGAGCCTTTTTCTATCAAGCAGGTTTCGGTGTTTCGCAGCGTCGTCATCATCCTGTCACATGAACTAGTGGCCAACACTATTCCACCAGGAGAAAAATCTAGCGAGGAGATCCAATTGGAGTGGGCTTTAATGATTTGGATGAGTGACTCACCAGTTTTTCCGTGCCAGACAATGACCTCTCCGTCAAAGTCACCGCTTGCCATCTCGTGATACTGCCAATCCCCACACCTCACTGTGATGCCTTTCCATTTTCTTCAACACAACACCTGTCTTCGAGTCCCACAGACGAAGCGTCTTATCGCACGATCCCGTAACCATCCGTCGTCTATCGAGGAACACTGCGACTGCCCTTACAAGTTATTCGTGACCTTTAAACTTTCGCAGGGGTGCACGTGTAGTGATTGGAATGAACTCCCACATTTTACTGGAGGTTGATGGCATTTGGTGAGGTCAAGGTGGACTCTGGAGGGATTGTGGGTGTCTTTCCCTAAGTTGCAGAGGGGCGTGTATTGTGGGGTTTGTGCGTCGACGCTGTGAGTTCCATCATCGTTACGGCAAGAATGCGTCCTATTATAGAACCAACTGATAGTACTAACAACCCTTGTCTGGCACAGCAGAATCCAGATACACTCCAAATTTCCTTCCTTTTTTTCTCCATCTGACCTCACGTCCTATGCCCAAGACCACAGCGCCCTCAGCTCTGACCCACTCAGTCCCACTGCCCTTACCACCCCCCGCATCCCTGTAAAAGTCCTACCCCACACTGTACAATATCGAAAACGCAGCTCCATCCGCACTAGGCGCACTTTAGGTAGCGGCACACCCCACCCTTTTTAGAAACTCTAGCTTTTAATTTACAAGGACGCCACTTCGGTTTGACTTTGGTCAGCTCTTCGACGATATAGTGTTTACCGTAGTAACAGGACACACAATATTAGCACGATATTGACTTTCGTTCAGCTGTGCAAATAGACTCTTCGTGTAAGTGTTCTCACCCTCGACAACGCTGTGTACAATTCACTGTAAGCAAAGAGATCTGTTCAAAGATTGAGCACGGTCCATGTTAGCTTCAATCATTGACAACCATTAAATACAGTTGCATATACGGGTCGCCCAGGGAAAATTATCCGTCCACGACCAACGTTTTGGATGAAACGCAAAGTTGATACGGGGGACGCAGTGGCTTTCAAACGCACTGAGGAGTTGAACTTTGACAAACCAACTGTGTCCGAGGGTGCTAAGGCAATGAATGTCTTTGACAGTCAGTCTCCAGTGATGCTGTGTACGGTCCCTGGCCGACGACGTACTTGCTAGCGGCAAGCAAAGGAATTTTGGTGAAACGCGGATGTCCTTTAGAATGATAACAGCAACTTGAAACTCGCATGTTCTAGTGAGGGCCGGCAACGTATTGTGAGATATCCATATCAAATCCATTCTTCCTGTTTGGTTAACAAGGGACTGGAGCCTCGAAAATTTACCTATTATGATGACCACTGGATTTAAAGGCACTCGCGCCATCGGGAAGGGGTTGTAAGTATATATAGATAGATGAGTGAGCAGAAATATGAAGGCGAAGAGAAGTCACGTACGTCATTGGCAAAAAGAATGGAGGGAATGCGCGGATTGGTTTTCACCATCAATGATAGGGTCGATAGTTGTCCGCACATCCAACAATATTTGGATCCTCCATCGTAACACCAAAAATCCTTGAAAATAGTTGATCTGATACATTTTGAATTCGAAGACCAAGAACGCCAGCAGAGGTTGATATATCGGATACTCGGGCCGTAGAAAAGTAGTAATTTGAATCATAGTAATGGCCTAGCAAGGCAGATGCAAAATTGCGTTGAGGATACCGGATGGCACATGAAGAGTTGAAATTACTTACTTAATCATGACACTACACCATCACTGTCAACTTTGAATGTTCGTTAGCCCTTGAACTTAAACGACCACCAACGAGCCCATAGTCCAATGGCACCGCTGTCACGACCAACAATGTCAGGATATGATCATTTCCATACAGTCACTTGTTCAACGTCACTAGCTATAGTGGAAGTGTACGATGTTGCATTTAGCGCTAAGGAATATATACCAAGGACAAGAATGGTGAGCACTATTAATTAATTGACACAAGTCACATAGACGCCTATAGGCTACATCCTGTGTGGATTCACAGGATACCGTCCGCCTTGCCCTTGATCTAATACTTCTCAGTTGACCTTTCATCGCTTACGAAGCTGGCATGGAGAACGTCGATGTGAGGTATGGTCGCATTATCACTGTGCTTGGTGTCGCCATATCTGTTTTACTGAACTTGTGATGTGACTGTGCTGCAGGACGGAAGACTTGCCAGACGATTTGACGCCCTTTATCACTCGAACAGCTCTGGACCACGTTGGTGGAGGTGCATTTGGCGATGTCTGGAAATGTAATTATGATGCAAATGGTATTTCTGCCCTCGTAAGTCCATATGTTGGAATTTACTATGCAACTGGCTGATCATGATCGAAACATTGATTGATAAGGTTGCGGTCAAGGCCTTCAGACTTCCAGAACGTTATGATTTAGAGACACTCAACAGGGTAAGCTTCGTATGACAACTGCATAATCGCCCGTGCTAACTTGTACTGACGCACCTAGAAAATCAGCCGAGAGATAGGCATATTGAGGATTCTACGCCATAACAACATCGTACCCTTGTGGGGTATAGCGACAGGATTTGGACGAATATCAGAGTTGCGCTGCTTGGTATCTCCGTGGATACCAAACGGCACATTGAATGTGTACCTAGTATTTAATCACAATGACCTAACACCTCTGGACCGTTCGCGTATGGTGAATAATTCTGATCATATCCTTCCACTTTTCAAGACTAACTGGATGTTTCGAGCTGGAGGATGTCAGTGCTGGACTTCGTTACTGTTAGTTTTCATCTATTTTCTCAAGATATCCAAGTTGTGACTTTACCATTGGTGCAAGTGCACTCGATTTCTGTCATGCACGGGGATATAACAGGAGTAAGCCCAGAGCTGCTGCGGCATTCTTGAAAACTGATGAACATGCAGGCAAATATACTGATCGACGAAGGAGGCCACGCGAGGTTAATCGACTTTGGTCTTTCCACCATCACACAACCCCTTATCGACCAGTCGCACTTGGCCGCAACATCCATACGTCCAGGCGCAATCCGCTATGCAGCACCAGAACTCGTTCTACCAGACAATACCCGCGAGCTACCAGTGCCTCTAGAAAAAGCTGATATATACTCTTTTGGTTGTATAATGCTTCAAGTGAGTTTTTAGTTCGAACACAAGATATTCGTTCAAGGGCTGACTGACCAGATTCTCTCGGGTCGGCGTCCTTGGTCTGAGATCTCGTCAGAAGCGTTCATCATCGTTAGCATCTCGCATGGTCGTGGACCGCAACGTCCTGATGGTCAACCTACCATAATAGACTCTGATTGGAAATTCATCCAAAGATGTTTGCAATCCGAACCCGAACTTCGACCTTCAGCAGATGAAGTGCTTGACTTTGTCATGCACAGGCTTTCCTCTCCAGGTAATTCTACATATTTCCTTTCCAACCATCCACTCACAGGAGCTTCAAGACCCTTGTCACGGCAGTGGACCACCTGACGATCCTTCCGATGATAGACCGGATAATGACCCTGGAGCTTCCCCACATGGTGGTTCTAATGAGTCAGATACGGTAGAACAACCACCCGGCAGTCCATCTGGTCGCGAATCAAAACCTTCAATTTGGTTAAAGCCTCGAATTTCTTAGTATGTCCACACACAACATTCGTATACACGTGTTTACATTAATTTGCGCAGCCGTCACGGTGGTTCATTTTCTACACACTCCGGAACAGCACCCAACAATCCCGATGATACGCCGGATAATGACCCTGGAGCTTCCTTGCACGGTGGTTCTGATGACTCAGATACAGCAGAACGACCACCCGACAGTCCACCACTCTACCCTGATGATGAACTGAAGTCTTTGTTCACTGTCGCAGATAATTTGTCTGCCTCCACCTCGACTGCTCCTGCATTTTCCGTACCGTCTTTTTCTCACAGCTCAAGCAAAGAAATATCTGAGTCCTCCACTACACCTGGACCTGTAAGTTATCGACCTTCTGACCGTAGTTCACTATGACTAATCGACCCTTGCACAAGGGCCATTCTCACGAAGGAATGTTTCAGTGCAAGTGGAATGGTCCTGACGGGATATCTTGCGATCACTTGATTCATCGCCAGGATCTCTCTTCTCACCTAAGTGAAGTCCATGAAATTCGTGGCTCAGTCAACTCCCGCGTCAGGTGCACCTGGGATGGTTGCCATAAGGAGATGAGAAGAGAGTCCCTCTTCAGGCATATAAAAGAGGTTCATTTGGGGGTTTCGCGTGAACATAACCTCGATGTCCGCATGAGCATGAACCCTGTGATCAGCAGTAGTTCAGAGACACCGACGGATGAGCAAGCTGGTTTGAAGGTTCTGGCTCATGACTGAGTCTCATGTATAATGATATGATATCCTGCACGCGCCGACCATATGCATGAGTTCCGATCAAAGGCACAAGCCGTTCCGTGTGTCTCATCAGTGCGAGGAGATCCCATTCTTCGCATTCGAGACATATGTGTGGATAGACCTCCCATGTTTTATGTACATACATTCTGACGGTTTGATATCGCTTCTTCCTATAACTATTCACATTTTCATACTTCCACCTATTCACGTACGTTACGCCTCATTGTACGCGTCATCGATATTGAATATTTATGCATGCACGCTAAGTATCTATATCATCTACTATCTCTACAGTGAAAAGGACGACCGATCTGCATAAATCTGAGCTGCGAGTGCATTGATTGGGCTCGCCGGGCGTCGTACTATTTAGTATCGGCGAACCACACATTAGCGAACTTGAGCTATTTTGATGTTACACTTGGTGCGTCGACGATCCGTGCCATCTTGGAATGCATTCTAATACTCAGCAAGTGGTATATACCGGTATGTAGTATAGGTAGCAGTCAAGAGTCCAGATATGCACAAAATCATGAAGTGAGTATTATATGTGAACGCATGTACATATGCACGTATCTGTAGATGGATCATTCGAAAACATAGTGTTCACCTTTCATAGCATATACCCACCTCGTATCTTCTCTGGTGTCAAAAACACATAAGTCCACCCCATCAATCATACTGCCGCATGGTCGCCTCCAGGGCATCCACATCCACATCAAAAGACACATCAAACGACGAATCCGCACCAGCCGCACCGAGTTTATCCTCCTCCTCCTCATCACCATCATCGTTGCTATCGTCCTTGACCAGCTCAGGCGTCGAAGTCGGCGGGCTTTCAGGAGTCTGGAAGACCTGCTTTGGTGCGGGAACGGCTTTTGGGTTGGGTTTCTTGAGCAGTGGAGGCTTGAAGGGCGGAAGCATCACTGGCTTTTGTCCCTTCGCTTGTGAAGCCGCATAGGGCGACTGCGTGGTGGCATAGCGCGATTGCGACAAAGGGAATCCGGAATTTGGGAGATTGTGTTGCCGGCGCATGCCCAGCGGTGGGGGACCTCGTTGAGTTGCTGAGGGTGCTACAACATGTCTCGACTGGGGCATCTTCTCTGGAACTGCTGTAGATACGGAGGTGGATGCAGTTGTGAGAGCTTTGGAAGGAGACATAAACCCAGAGTTTGAGGAAGAAACTGCAAGACTAGCGCCCATAACAATACTGGGGGTCCTCCCCACAGCGCACTTGGGAGGTGGTAGGACGTCATCCACGTGCATCGAGAAAGACTCATTTGGAGGCGAAGTCATCTGTAGAATCGGTGAAAGTGCTTCCCTTGCGATCCGTATCTCGATCTGAGTCCAACGTCATCTGGATGTGCCAATGTCTGTAGAAAGTTTAACTGTAGGTTTGATAGTTGCAGAGCTCAATGATCCACCGATCGCACTTCCTCGCAGAGGTGCATAAGAAGCAGACGAGATACTACGGTGGATGTGGACCTCGACCCAGACGAAGATGCACAGGTAATCTCCTGGATTGCGATGTCCCCCGGAGTGCTCGCCGCCTCCTTTTCTGTCTTCGCCTCAAATTCTCGCCCAGCTCTGCAGTGCCATTACGTATGATATGAAGGTATCTCGCGGCCAGTTCTGATTCGGAAGAGACGCCATCCTTCACAGGTGCGGTAGGTGAATACGCACGCGACGGGGGTACTTTCTTCGAGATGAGTTTCATGAGACGTAGCTTCCTCGATGAATTAGACGCAAATGTAGATGAAAGTGTGCTTGTCGACGGTGTGGAAAAACCAAGGAGGGATGCCGTGCGGCGGGAGACAGACATGCTGGTGCTTGATGCCCATGTGGACGTGTGCTCAGACGCATCCAAATGAGCTGCAAGTAGAAAAAAGCAAGTAAAAAACACCTCGAATGTTCTCGTGTGAGAGCACGTACGTTTCTGTTCTCGCTTTCCCTCATTTTGCTCTCTGCATCTGCATGAGTTCTCGGATGACAGGGTCAAGTTGGGATTGTTTCCATGTAACGTAGCCGACATCGTTGTTGATGCTCATGTTAGCGGATGCAGGCCGAGTACTAGCACGCGCCCATTGAGATGAAGAGGAGAATTGTAATTTGGAATGAGGGGGATGGCCCCACGTCCCAGTCCATTGCAAACACGGTGTTAGTTTGATGTAAACAAATAAAAGTGAGAGAAAAGACTGTACGTTTTGTACAAGAGACAGACTTTCAGATTACTTAATTGCGAAAGCTGTGACTTGTCAGTATTGAAAGGGTCGGGCCTCTGTTGCCATCCATGAGGAGCGAATTCTCATATGTGTACCAGCTATAAGTTACGCTGCACTTGACGCGGCGACTCGGATAATATTAATGATCTGATATCTGTTTCCATTTTGAATTCAAAGACCAAAAATTTGATATATCGGATACCCGGGCTAATTTTTATCGATATCCACCATTTAGCGCTAAGGACAAGGTCAAGAATGGTGAGTACTGCTATTAAGTAATTAACACGAGTCGCATAGCTAGACGCCTATACTATGGCTACATCCAGCCGTGGATTCACAGGATTGTACACTTGACATTTCATCACTTCCAAAGTTGATCGAGAAAGTATGGAGAACGACGATGTGAGGTATGATCACATTGTCATAGTGCTTGGTGTCGCCGTATTTGTTTTACTGAACTTCTGATGTGACCGTGCTGCAGCATGGAAGACTTGCCAGACGATTTGACGCCATCTATCACTCGAATAGCTATGGACCACGTTGGTGCAGGTTCATATGGCGATGTCTGGAAATGCAATTATACTAATGCAAATGGTATTTCTACCCTCGTTAGTCCATGTGTTGGATTCAATTTACTATGCAACTGGCTGATCATGATCGGGACATGGACATTGATCGATAAGGTTGCGGTCAAGGCCTTCAAACTTCCAGACCATTATGATTTAGAGACACTCAACAGGGTAATCTCTGTGCAAAGACCGCATATCAGCCTACACTGATTTTGGACGCACCTAGAAAATCAGCCGAGAAATTGGCATATTGAAGATTCTACACCATGGCAACATTGTACCCTTGTTGGGTATAGCGACAGGATTTGGATCCAGGCCAGAATTGCGCTGCATAGTTTCTCCGTGGATGCCAAATGGCACATTGAATGCATACCTAGTATCTAACCACAACCATCTAACAGTCTTGGACCGTTCGCGTATGGTGAGTCATTACCCTCACACCCTTTCACTTTTCAAGACTAACTCGAAGTTGGAAGCTGGAGGATGTCAGTGCTGGACTTCGTTACCGTTAGTTTCCATCTATTTTCTCGAAGCGTTCAAGTCGTAACTTATGTTGATGCAAGTGCACTCGATTCCTGTCATGCACTGTGATATAACAGGGGTAAATCTAGAGCTGCTGTGTCATTCCTGAAACCTCATGAATATGCAGGCAAATATACTGATCGACGAGGGAGGTCATGCGAGGTTAATCGATTTTGGTCTTTCCACCATTACAAAACCCCTTCTTGGCCAGTCGCATTTGGCTGTGACATCTATACATCACGGAGCAATCCCCTATGCTGCACCAGAACTCATTCTACCAGAAACTACATGTGACCCGGGGTTGGAGGAAAAAAGCGATATCTACTCCTTTGGTTGTGTAATGCTTCAAGTGGGTTGATGTTTGGTCACAAAACGTTCCCCTGAGGACTGATTGAACAGATTCTCTCGGGTCGGCCGCCTTGGTCTGAGATTACAGCTCCAAACCGCATGGCATGCATTATTACCCAGATGTCCCGAGGTTGTAGACCGCAGCGTCCAGATGGTCATCCAGAAATAATAGACTCTGATTGGAAATTCATCCAAAAATGTTTGCAATCCGAACCCGAACTTCGTCCTTCAGCAGATGAAGTGCTTGACTTTGTCATGCATAGGTTTTCCTTTCCAGGTAATTCCTCATGATTCGTGGTGCTTTCCAGCCATCGACTGACATGAGCTTCAAGACTCTTGTAGTAAACTGCCTGATGATCATCCCGATGATGCGCCGGATGATTTCCCTGGAACTTCCCCGCACGGTGGTTCCAATGACTCAGATACAGCAGAACAACCACCCGACAGTCCCCCACTCCACCCTGATGATGAACTGAAGACTTTGTTCACGGTCGCAGATACTTTGTCTGCTTCCACCTCGACTGCTCCTGCATTTCACGTATCGTCTTTTTCTCACAACGACTCAAGTAATGAAGTATCTGAGTCCTCCACTACACCAGGACATGTAAGTTATCGACTTTCTGACCGTGCTTCACTATGATTAATCGACCCTTGCACAAGGGCCATTCTCTCGAAGAAGTGTTTCAGTGCAAGTGTAATGGTCCTGACGGGCTATCTTGCGATAACTTGATTCAACGCCACGATCTCTCTTCTCACCTACGTGAAGTCCATGGAATTCGTGGCTCACCTAAGCTCATCGTCATGTGCATCTGGGATGGTTGCAGTACGGTGCTTAAAAAAGAATCCCTCTTGAGGCATATGGAAGAGGTTCATTTGCGGGTTGTGTACTCCTGTGACTGCGGGAAGAGGTTCAAGCGCAAAGATCTTATCAATGCCCACAGGAGGAAGTGCACTGTGATCAGCAGTAGTTCATGATATGGGGAGACAGCAACGTGCGCACAAGCTGGTTTGAAGGTTCTGGCTCATGATTAAATCTCATGTATAATGATATGATATCCTGCGCATCAGTGGACACACATTAGCAGACTTTAGCTATTTTGATGTTGCACTTGGCGTATCGACTCGTGCCAACGCCACTACCTGGCCCACATTTGATGATGTCTGGAAATGTATCCTAATACTTAGTGACTGGTATACCGGCCGGTATGTAGTCTACGTAGCAGTCAAGAGTCCAGATATGCAGTTCAAAATCACAAAGTGAGTATTATATGTGAATGCGCGTACATGTATCTAAGTAGATGGATTATCAAAGACAGATCGAAACATAGTATTCACCTTCCATAGCATACACCCACCTCGTAGTCTCCGGCGTCAAAAACGCATACGTCCACCCCATCAATCATACTGCCGCATGGTCGCCTCCAGGGCATCCACATCCACATCAAAAGACACGTCAAACGACGAATCCGCACCAGCCGCACCGAATTTATCCTCTTCATCATCACCGTCATCGTTGCTATCGTCCTTGACCAGCTCGGGCGTCGAAGTCGGCGGGCTTTCAGGAGTCTGAAAGACCTGCTTTGGCGCGGAAGTAGGTTTCGAGTTGGGCTTCTTGAGCAGCGGAGGCTTGAAGGGCGGAAGCGTCACTGGCTTTTGTCCCTTTGCTTGTGAAGCCGCATAGGGAGACTGCGTAGTGGCGTAGCGCGATTGCGACAAAGGGAATCCGGAATTTGGGAGATTGTGTTGCCGGCGCATGCCCAGCGGTGGGGGACCTCGTTGAGTTGCTGAGGGTGCTACAACATGTCTCGACTGGGGTATCTTCTCTGTAACTGCTGCAGATGCGGAGGTGGATGCAGTTGCGAGAATTTTGAAAGGAGGCGTAAACCCAGAGTTTGAGGAAGAAGCCGTAGGGCTGGTGTCCATAACAATACTGGGGGTCCTCCCCACAGCACGCTTGGGAGGAGGTAGGACGTCATCTACGTGCATCGAGAAAGACTCGTTTGGAGCGAAGTCACCTGCAAAATCGGTGAAAGTGCTTTCCTCGCGATCCGTATCTCGGTCTGAGTCCAACGTCATCTGGATGTCCCCGCATGTGCCACTGTCTCTAGAAAGTTTAACTGTAGGCTTGATAGTTGCAGAGCTCGATGATCTACTGATCACATTTCCTCGCAGAGGTGCAGAAGAAGTAGACGAGATACTAGCCGTCTTCTTTAAAGGCCTTGCAGTTAACGCGGTAGATGTGGACCTCGACACAGACGAAGATGCACAAGTATTCTTCCGGGTCGCGATATCCCCCGGCGTGCCACTCGCCGCCTCTTTTTCTACCTTCGCCTTCGCAGCTTGCTTTCGCCTCGAATTCTCGTCCATCTCTGCAGTGCCATTACGTATGATATGAAGGTACCTCGCGGCCAGTTCTGATTCGGAAGAGACGCCATCCTTGACAGGTGCGGTAGATGAATACGCACGCGACGGGGGTACTTTCTTCGAGATGAGTTTCATTGGATGTAGTTTTCTCGATGAATTAGACGCAAACGTAGATGCAAGTGTGCCTGTCGACGGTGTGGAAAAACCGGGGAGGGATGCCGTGCGGTGAGGAACAGACGTGCTGGTGCTTGATGCCCATGTGGACGTGTGCTCAGACGCATCCAAACGGGCTGCAAGCATAACAAAAGCAAGTCAAAAACACCTCGAATGTTCTCGTGTGAGAGCACGTACGTTTCTGTTCTCGTTTTCCCTCCTTTTTGCTCTCTGCGTTGTGCATGAGTTCTCGGATGATGGGGTCGGGTTGGGATTGCTTCCATGTCACGTAGCCGACATCGTCGTCGATGCTCATGTTTGCAGATGCAGGCCGAGTACTGGCGCGCGCCCATTGGGATGATGAGGAGAATTGTGAAGGGGATGGCCCCACGTCCCAGTCCATTGCAGAGTGCTAGTTCGTTGTAAACAGATGTGGTGAGAGAAAAGACCGTCAGAAATACGTTTTATACGTTGGATCACGATTAGTTGAAAAGGATTGTATGAATCGTCACTGAGATGAAAGAGACGGACAATGAAAATTCAATGGCCCACTCAGGCTGCGACGTTAGAAAGTCTATTACTGTTGGAGCGATGTTGTTTACAGAGTGTTTCCACCAGACCTAGAGCAGATCCCAAGTTGCTGCGAGTTCAGAATAAGCACCAGCTAATCGCTGTCTGTGACCGTTCGGACTCACCGTACCCAGGCTGCGAAAAAGCGCCTGCTCCCGATCAGGAAGGAGATCCTCATGAACTCTTGTAGACCGTTGTTTGTTCCATTGTCCCATTCATTCGTTATTTTACCTTTGATGGCTGTTCAAACGTTCAAGCTCAAGACAAGCACGAAGCACTGCAAGCTCCACATGGCCAACCTACACGTGTTGGTTAGTTGCTACTGATGTGACTATACTTAGTCACCCTGGCACTGGCTGGCAGCTAAGATTATCTTCCGTGTGTCGTCCTGACCTAGTACCCCTGAGAGAATAAAACCTCATCTAGATTCACAGCTTTCTCAAGTGCCTGAGTCCTGAAGTTTGGATGTTGTCCTGACATATTAATAAGAGTGTGGATATGTCAGGCGACTTTCATGCGACTCGGTGGAGTTGTGTGATACCGGCCGACAAGTTAGCGGGTCCGTGGCACATGTCATTGCCGAACAAGTATTGATGAAAAAAAATGCATCCGTTTGGTGATACAGATTACAACTACAACCAAACTACAGCCTCCAAAAACTACATCAAATACAACAGTCGTATCGCATTATCAATAAGTTAGGACGTTCAAAAGGCATAATTCTGTTCTCCGTGGAAGTATCGCCAATAGGCAGGGAGAAGATGTGCGACAGAAAACCATAGCTATAACATCACATCAGGAAAGACGCACGTCAGTCAGAGAATGCCACTCACACTATACAATTTGCAAGACATTCGCGCTGCCTTTGATGTCTTGCAGGTCATGAATCTGAGCCCCACCATCGCTGCATATCCTGTGAATACAAGCGTGCAGAGTGTATTCACTCCCCAAACACGAGACAAGCAGATGGACCACAGAGGAAGGGCCACCAGCATAGATGTCCGCGCTAGATTCGGGAATGCTATGGGTAATGTTCGCCTGCCAATAAGGCGGTCTCCTTCCACGTCTTTGAAGTCCTGAGCGTGCAATGTGCTCGTGAACACGGCGAGGCTCAAGGCAATCGCTGAAATTGCGGTGGGTTCTAACCGTGACATATCTTTGCCTGTTCAAGCAATAGTTCAGTAAAACATTCATTCGGAGATAGGAAGTTTGGTAACAAACCTGCGATAAGAGTGGAACCAATTTCAAAGCAAGCGTAACCCACTGCCGTTATAAAGTTCTTCGAGATCCAATGCTCGTGGGCTTTAAGCTCATTATAGAAGATTATGAACAGCGTCAACACGAGGCTTAAGCCAAAGACTTGGAAGCTGTAGCATGCGGATAGGGCGAGACATATGGGAATGAGAGCCCAACGTAACACAAGAGCGTCTTCCAGGCTTATTAGTCCTGCAGGTATAGGTCGAGAAGACTTGTTCTTCCCATCCTCCTGAGGATCGATTATTTGATTGGCGACATTAAAATGGAGTAGATGGAGCCAAATCCAGAAAACAATGTGTGAAAAACGTTGGAAATTGCAGAGTGGCCCAGCCACGACTGCGAATAGCGTCTGATATGGTCAGTGTACGGTGACAGAACGGCGAAAGAGTAGTACATACAATGGGAACAATGGTAGTCGTGATGTCGTCGCTCGTGAATGAATAGAGAATTTGGAGGTAGAGCATGACGAATCGTGAGGGAAATGGAAAAAGGCCCTGGCCTTTTAGTAACGTACCGCTGGACTGTAATAACTATTGAGGAGTGGGTGAACGGGGTATAAATACCCTACGGCGTTGTAATCATAATCTTGTAATCCAATGATGAAAGTTTGTTTGATCGTCATCATGTTTCGAAACCCCGATTCCACCGATCGGTTGACTATTTCATAAAAAGACAGATTCCGTGGGCATGAGGCACAAGGGCGGTTGTAGGTGTAGGCGGTTGTTGGGAGACAAAGGTGCTTGTGGGAGTGACATGACCATATACTCACCCAGTTGGGCGTCAAATTTCCAAGAGTGTCTACATAGCCTCGTCTGAAAAACAGTTGCTGATAGGATCAAAACGAGCGCTGAGTGAACAGCTCCAATGTTGAGCATCTTTCGCGGGAGCATTGGGCAGCCACGAGGTTGAACCGATTATCAAGCTTCTTCATCAATTTCCGAGAAATCTGATAGAATATATGATGAGTAGGGAAGACAGAAATGTATGAGATTCTAGATAGGCACGTACGATATGAGATGAATAGGTTAGCACAGAATTGCACCCGCTTAACCAGCGTCCACGATAGTCACGTTGTTCAAGAAGCTATTATTGCCAAATAGGTATATGTACATCCGTTGACATCTATCCTTCTTTGGGTGAAAAGTTTTGCAGGTCTTCTAACCGGCTTGGCAGAGCGACTGATAGGCCTCGAAGCAAACCTCATCATTTCACCAATGAACCGTTTACCCAAGCTGTGGGGGTGATCATATCAAGGTCTGATGCAGGCTGTGCGATGAGGATGTCGTGACGGGGCATAAGCGGATTGGACACCCGAGCCTTGGCAAAACGTTACTCTGGAGTCGATAGGGGTTGACCCTCATGTATGTAACCTTTGCCTCGTGTCTCCGGGACCGATCAGGGTCGATTCCCAGGTGCCTATCGAGTATCAGAAATGAAAGAAACAACTTGTCTGGATCTTGGTTTGTCTTCTTTCTCCATACCGCAACTAGACAAGACATGTATCTAGCGAGACGACTTGATAACTTGTTCAATATTGCCATCTGCGCGACGTCGCATCAGAACTCAAAATTTGTAAAAAGACGATAAGACATACCTCCAGCGTATCATACATCGTACGACCCTCTTAATCCCGACTACTTAGTCAATTCCGACGGGCCTATTCGGAGGGATGAATCGAGGGCGTTCAACGTTCGATGACGCAGCTACGGCCTGAGAGTGGAGATGGGGCTCTTCCGAGTCGTAGTAGTTGTGGATACAGACGGCCGAATTTTTCAGTCTATCCCATAATAAGTTAACCGCAAGTATTGAAGAACCGGCATTCTTCTATTTTTCAGTCTGGCTAGGGATAGTACGACCCGAGTTCGGTCATGAGCTTCTCATTCCCCAACTGGGGACAAATCTAGAGGACATACTTATGCCATACCCACCGTGCTTCCATCTCGAGGCCTTTATTTTTGTTTGTCACCAGCTCTGTTCATGTGAACTTATGTGTCACTGAGTTGTGGTAATACTTACCGAGAGCGTAGATTTGTGTCCCGGTATTCTAGCCACTGTCTACTTATAACGTTAGACTTGTGCGTGCGTGCAAGTACTCCACTCGTACTAGCTTTTCCCATCTAGCTAGCTAGTGAGTGTTTCAGCAGGTTTGTGTCAGCTAGGCTGACACTAGTGAGCACGTAACTGACCTTTTCGACGAGAGCACCCACCAGCGATAGCACAAGTTCGACCGCGCCACAGTTCGCCTCTCTTGCAGGGTCCCTTGTTCTCGACTTAGCCTTTTCCCCTCAGCTATCCAGAATACGACCGAGTCGTTATCAATCCAAGTTTGCTGCGCACTACTGTGCATGCTCACATGCATATGTATGTCCTTCACAGATTGTCTGTGGCATCTGACACACTACAGCTTTCGCCAACGTTCGCCAGCAGCTTTTGTTCGACTGGAACGTTCAACGTCCCACTGCAAATTTATCCGTAAGTAACAACATTAATGAGTGACAACAGAGCGCCCGTCGCTCTAATATAACAAAAGTCCAAAAACGCCCGAAACGACAGATACTACGTTGAAGCACACGGAACAATAGAGAGCTTCAACATGACCGCACGCGATATATGATTGTAGCTATAAATGAATGAGCAACAGGAAAGAAACAAAAAAAAAACTGAGATAGTCCACACAACAAACACCGTCTGTCCGTTTCTATTGTCATGTCCATTGTTCATAACCGCTGTTCACTGCTATGTTGCACTGCGCCATCTGAATTATATGGATCATAATCTGCCCCCTCTCTCCCATACGCATCCCGATACGGTGAATGAAGACTGGTGTTACTCGCATTCCACGAGTTGCTTGAATTATCCTGTTGCAACGGGACAAACGCACTCGAGTCAGAATGACGTGCTCGATCATCGGTGGCTCTTCCGCGGGACGCGCCGCTACCATACCCATCACCTGTAGCTTTCATGGCATACGCAGCCGCAGGATGCTGACGGCTGGCGGCGCGCCGACGTCGAGCCACAAAAATACCAAAGAGCGCACCGAGAATACCAATAACAGCAATCGCTCCAATCACAGCACCAACAATGGCTCCGGTGTGACTGCTCCCCGATGCACTGTTTGACGAAGTGCTACTACCCGAGCCCGAGCCCGAGCCTGAGGCAGAGGAATTTGGAACGGAATCAGGGAGAACAGTAGCGGCTTGCGTGGGTTGCGTCCCGACTTGACCGTTGCCGACAATAACCATCGTTCCATTACTGGGAATACCATTGATCACCACGAACATGAGAGCAGGTCCGGGGGTGAAGATATTGGGGTTTGGCGGAACTTGGGCCACGTGAAGGGTGATTGAATCGTTACTGTTGACGGTGTACGTGCTGTTGAGCTGCAGGTACCTTTGACCCATGTTCATGGCGTGCGTAGTGAAACCGCCACGCAACAAAACAACAGTCGTATTTGCAGCAGCAGCGTTGCCCGAGCCAGTGTACGCGCTCGAAGGAACAGTGAGGTCGAAGGAACTACCACCGTAAGAAAGAGTTTGCGGTGCGCCAGAGAAAGTTGGGCGTTTACTGGCGCTAAAGTAGGGTGGATAGAAAATCTCCGCGGTGTAGGTCGTGGGGAAAACGGTGGTGAGGTTGACATCGATGTTAGGGTTGGATCCGGCGATCATGACGGTAGCGTCAGGCATGAGCAAGGCACTGGAGTGGTACAGACGTGCAATGTTCGTGCTACTCAGACCGGCGTTCGACCAGCGGCTGCCTGCGGGCAAATTCGGGTTGTAGATGGCAGGAGTTCCGACAGGGCCAGAGGCCAACGACTCGCCGTAGGGCATGAGGCTATAGCTAGGGGTCTGACCAGTAGCCTGAGCGTAGCCAGCAGTACCATTTATACCACCATTGATAACCAAAAGGGTACCGTCTGGAAGGATGATGAACTGACCCATGGTGCGGCCCTCGAGCATGTCATCGTCTGAGACATAAACAGGAGAAGAGCCATCTGTGGGTTCTGGAGTGAGGCGCTGACAGTCCTTGGAAGCAGGGTAGGTCCAGGTGTTATAGTTGGGGTATGAATAGTCACCCCAATACTCATCAGGCATGTCAGAGCCGCCACAAAAGATGACAGTAGGAGTATAGTTATTGGCGGGAGTGAGGGGTAACATGGCAACGGCGCCAGAAGCAGGGTAAACACGAGCGACACTGCCTGGCATGTTGGGAAGAGGTGTTTCAACGTTGGTCTCAGGATTCCAGAGGACTGATCGGAGGTGTAAGAAAGATGGACAAGAACATAAAAATAAAACATACCAGTGGAGATATTGGCCTGGATGAGCATGTTGCCAGAAGGCATGAGGTAAGTATGCGCGTAGGAATTAAGACCGGAAGTAGTGATCATGAAGTTCATGACAGTTGCAGGTCCCTTTGAAGGGAAGAACTCATACGTTGGTTCAGCTGCACCGCCTTCGTATTCTGGGTCCGTGTTAGGGTAATTCCGGTTGATGTAACCACCACTGACGAAACCGCCGATCAATGCGATACTACCATCACCAAGAGCCTCAGCGGCAGAGTACCACCGTAGTTTCTGCATAGACAGAACAGTGGCGTTATCGAACCATTGGCATTGAGCGCTCGACATGTCATCGGCGCTTGTGCAAGGATTGAGGATACGAATAGACTTTCTTCCATCATAATCTCCATAGGTCGAATCATATGCGCCTGCACCAACATTGCCAGTGGAACCAAGGGGGCCAATTGCATTATTGCCACCGAATGTCGCGTACGAACCATTTGGTAGGTGCATACCAGAAGCGCAGAAGGAATTGGTCATAACTTCCATCACCTGGGCTGAGTGAGTATTGACATCCCTGAGCGCAAAGTTAAGCGGGCTATTAATGTGCAGCGAATGCGAGAGCACGTACCATGCAGCGCCCCAAGCAGGGTGGCCATCTATTTGAGCAGCATTGCCCTCCGTTTTGTCGAGAATGTAGACCTTCTCCTCATTGCCAAGGAACATCTTCGGAGCGAGCACTCAGCACAGAACATAACAAGGCAAACAATTGTGTACCATCATGGCGCTAACTTGTGTGTTGCCAACCTGAGCGAAGGAACCTGCCTGCTGGGCAGCAGCCAGCTTGGAAGATGCTGCAAGCCCGAGGGCCAGCCAAGCAGCGGGTGTTAACATGATTGGGTGGTCGTACTACAAGGATTAAATGATTTGAAAGACAGAATATGGAAGATACGACCGAAAGGAAGACAATTCAGCAAGCGAAAAAGAGTGTGAGGTGAGGTGAAATGACCCTTTGGAAGTGGCTTAAGTTACAAATAACGTTGCCCTTTTTTTTCGTGGCCTCCCGCTTTGGCCCTCGGACACCGGCCATCACTTCAATTTCCGTTCCTAATTATGTTCTTTTTGAAGTTCTCGATCATTGTCAATTCGTTTATAAATCCTTCGAGTTCGAGCCCATAGCTAGTACAAAATCCATCCTCAACCATTCGAGCGATGCTCTAGCCTGCAACGTCTCCCGGGGTCACTTGTCTGGGACATTGTCTAGGCCAATTTGAATTCTAGGTCAAA